GGGCCCTTCAACCAACAAGTACCCTTGCGGGTCATACACATACTCAACCGACAAGCACTCAGACAGGCATGCAAACCATCAGGCACGCACACACACAGACATGGAAATCACAGCAGAATGCGGGAATTTCAGCAAGGCATTCATTCCAGCGGCAAATCCCAGAAACCAGCAGTGTTCTCAGTCTGTGTTTTTGGCGGGTCATTACACATTTCGTTTACTGATATTTTGCATACATAGCCCCGAAAATTTCTGATATGAGCATTTCGTTTTCTAGGCCTATTAGGATAACCATAGAGGTGGTCATATTCTCGGAAATCAGATTTATCCTTATCTGAAAATCGAATCTCCATTCTACCTCCCAATTTTTTTTGAAAACCGAAATCTTGCGAAGCCTATCAGCATTTCGTTTCAGGCATATTAGAGAGGTTGTCATATTCTCAGAAACTGGATTTAGTTCTTTTCTGAAAATCGCATCTCTACTCTATTTCGCAATTTTTTTTTCTCAAGATTGCATTTTTTGAAAACCGAAACTTTGCCGTACCTAGCCTAGATCTCGCTCATAGTACTCTTCTGACATGCCTCACTCATAGCAGATCGACAGATATACAAAAAAAAAAAAAAAAAAAGAAAGGAAGTAGTCCTCTTTTTATTTTTTTATTTTTTATCTGTTGATGAGGGCCGGGAGGAAAGTATTGTTGGGTTTGTTACCTACCTGCGTTTTCCCTCCCACCCACCCCTTTGCATGCATTCCCGGGTTGGTACAGTGCCACGCCAGCAACAGTGCCACGTCAGCAGTGCCACATCAGCAACAGTGTCAGCAGTGCCACGTCAGCAACAGTGCCACGCCAGCAACAGTGCCACGTCAGCAGTGCCACGTCAGCAACAGTGCCACAGCAGCAGTGCCACGTCAGCAACAGTGCCACGTTAGCAGTGCCACGCCAGCAACAGTGCCACGTCAGCAGTGCCCCGCCACCATGACGGGCTCAGCTCTGGGCATGCCAGGCCAACTGGTAAATGAGTCCATTGCCGAATACCGACAACGTTTCGAAACCCAGCTCGCACTAATCGCGGCTGAGGAACCTGTCTCTTATACACATCTAGATGTGTACACACACACACACACATATATGCTATGATCCTGGGTATCTCATAGTGCACAAAGAAAGACAATGCCATTCAATTGCAACTGAATTGAAATAGATTGGAAAGAGACAGAGACAAAGGAGGAGGAAGAATGGAGAACGCAAGAAGAACGTGAAGATGAACACAAGCAAGAACCAATGTCACTCCTCCCTTATCTCGGCACCATCTTCAACCTTTACTGTGTCTTGCAAAATCTTACTATATTAATAATAATAACAACAATAACAATGAATGAATGAACGAGAATCAATGTCCGAATCCTGCCCTGACTTGTGGCCAATCAAGAAGACCACCATAGCGATCTTACACCCCATTCTACMTGTAAGTCAAGCTGGTGGCTATGGCGGACCATCGGAGCCCAGCTCC